CCTTTGAATGTTGTATACATGCAAAAACTCACTGATGCACACTAGTGATTCACAAAAAGCTTTTGTTTTACCTGAATCTTCCACCTAATATCATCCAGTCAGTGTCCTGGTGTTAGAGCAGCTGACTGGAGAAGGTGGAGTAAAAGTTTGAAAACAGTTGGAAATAAAAAATTAGTTATTATAGATATAATAAAAAGGGTGTTACATCTCCAGTACACACTCTAAGCGGTAGATAAATCACAGCAGACTGGGACAGCTGACCAATCAGAGAAGACAGCACTTTTCAGTAGGCGGGTTTTAAACGAACTAAAAAGAGTGTTTCAGGCAGAAGGAAAAACTCATTAATGTGTATAACATGGCACTTTAATATGAGGTAGTTTATGTAGCTGACCAATGTAAATGGATGGTAGAAAAGATTTAAGTACATTTTAATCTTAATGTAAACAGTATATCATAATCCCCTCTCTCTCTCTTTCTATCTCTCTCTCTCTCTCACACAGGAGCATGTGATACGGGAGGAAGCTCGTAGTCTCACTCCTCGACAATGTGCCGCCATGGATTTAGTGCTTCCCACCATCAAGGTATCTTCCGCCATGATTCTTCCATTTCAGGGGACAGTTGCATAAACTTATGCTTAGACGTGACTCACTAGTGTTTCTTTCAAATTAAATTAGTCAAATAAACGGTTTAAGAGATGACATGAAGTCCATTTTTCAAACACCCGAAGCAGATTATTATTCAGTTATGGAACACAGCCAGATTAGATGGGCGGTGTAAGAGAGCATTTACTCTATTTATCCTGCATCACATATACATACATACACACACACACACACACACGGTTAGAATGGTGTGTCTTTAGTTGTGGTGTAAATGTGCATGTGAGCTGCAGATACATGCATCATCAGAGATATTATTGATTCAGTCGTCTCCTTGGAAACACGCGCCCCTCCCTGTTCGAATCAGTCATGGAGTGGGAATTATGCTCATTGGTATTCTGAGGACAGAAGCTAATTAGGGAAGTTAACAAAAGCCTTGAGTAAATTTTTGACAATGGAAATGGCTGCACACAGTGATGAGCTCAGGATTCTGTGCTTGAGGTGGCAAAGTAACGACAGAAGACATCTGAAGAGATTAATGAGAAAAATAATTAATGGGTGAGTGAAAAACAAGATACACAGACAGATGAAAAGAGAGGAGAACAAACACATTCTGATGTCTTTGTCATCAACTGTCTTTTTAAATATTTATGAATCGATGCACTGCAAAATACAACATATCCTATTAACATTTTCCATTGAAATATCGAAACATCTTTAAGATACAGTAATAAGATACTTTGCCTCCTCATTTCAGAAGACCACCACACACAAACTGATCTCAATAGAGAAAGCTCTATGAATAATGCAGCTAAAATAACGGGCCTCCGGAAGATCAGAAAAGCATGCATTTGAAATCCAAAAAAGTGATGCTCTACCTGACCAATCTATACTGCAGACCAACTATATCAGCCATTCATCGTCGGCTTTATTAAAATCCAGCACACAGCCAGAGGCTCTCGTCACTAGAAAACGAGGAGCTGTTTACTGTTCATCACACAAACTGAAATGATTGATGAACAAATGAAATATTTTATTTTGTATTTATTTTAATTTATTTTATTTTTTATTTAGTTTATTTATTTTTATTAAGTGAGGGAAACCCCAAATACAAACATTGAAAATGACTTTTGCCCTTTCCGCAGACCCGGAACAATTGATTCCTCAGTGGAAATCTCATTTATCTCAATCACATCAGGCATGAAAACGTCACCGCTCCATCCACACCATTCCCTCTCTAATCGCCCTTTATGCTAATAGAATAATAAACTAGATCTGATCAAATGCCAGCCTTCCCCTCACACTAATGTCTAGTTGTGTCGTATATCTCCATATGCCAATAACTCTGTGGCAGTGCCTGAAGCTCTGGGCTCATGTTTAACCCTGATTGTGTTCAGCTGATGGAGGTGAATGTGACAGATGCTGCATCGGTCTTATGTCTCAATGTAACTTAGAGATTAACTCAATTAACAATGTGGAGGTATGAATATTGCTGAATTGCCTCCTGTAGCATCTGTGGTGATTTTCCACTAAGAACCATTTATTATGTTCAAATTCATGCGTTTTGTTCTAATGAATTAATGATTTTTCTCTGTGTGTGCATGTTGCATAACAGTATAAACAAGGCAATACAAAACAGAATAAACAAGGCAATGCAATATTATGAGTACATGTTTTGGTGGGAGGAGCAAACGACAGACACAGTGGAAGTGGTGTCAAGCCTCGGAGAGGCATTTATTAAATTAAACGTAAATTGTTGAAAATGGGGGAAATAAAGTGTTAAAACAAAAGGGGATCTGGTGTCCTCGTTGTGGCAGGGAATCGTGAAGGTAGGGTAGTGAAGATATGGGGTGGGTCCAGGTAAGGGGGCGGTCGCACACACTTCTCTCTCTCCTTGGTCTGAGGCACGAGGGGGCGGCAGTTTCAGCATCACGGATTGTCCTCTCTAGGCCCCAACAACGAAGGGGAATAGCAGCCCGACATCCTAGCCTGTCAGCGGCGTTATGCATGTTCTCTCTTCGGACTGCGGGTCACAGCTCCTTCGACGCGGTTATCCCTCCCTTACTGGACCCACAAGGACATTAGTGTGCATGCAAAGGGAAGAGACCAGTCTCTCGGGGAGAGGCGCGCTCAGCATTTAACAGTAGTGGTGATGAGGCTTCATTCTCGTCAAAGTTCAAGAGATTTCCATGACGCATGCGCGAGAACTGAACAAGATGTAGTTGAAGGAGATAGGAATTCTCGCGCGTGGAAATCTCTTGAACTCTTGTCTCAGGCCTACAAGGAAGAAAAGGAATAGTCGAATAAAGTTGTTATTTTTGTTTTTTTTCGCACAAAAAGTATTCTCATCGCTTGATAAACTTATACTTGAGCCACTGTTGTCACATGGAATATTTAAACATTTTCTTCATCGACTTTCTGGGCCGTCAAGTTTCGATCCCTTAGGCAGCCTATGTAGCAGTGATCCACCTCTCAAATTTAATAAAAAATTATCTTCATTTGTCTTCCGAAGACGAACAAAGGTCTTACGGGGTTGGTACAGTACAGCATGGGGGTGAGTAATTAATGACTTAATTTTCATTTTTGGGTGAACTAACCCTTTAAGCAATTTTTTTTTTTTGCAAGGCCATTCACATTTCCAATTAAATGCAACCTTTTGTGATCTCCTGTGTGAACATGAAATGACCCAGAAGTGACCCACATGCACAGAAGAGTAGTCAACTGTTAACGACGTTACTTATTGTTTGTGGAAGTAGCTAAACATGGATGTCAACAGTGGAGCTCGTTTAGCGATATTAAAGTTATTTTCCAAACAGAGCCAGCACAATTACAATCTTCTCATCCCCGCCTACTTCAATGCAGAATTGCGACGTTTTTATGATGCATATCAATGACGTGCGGGTCAGATACATGTGACCTGGCCGTTCAGATCAAAGTTGTATTTCAAAAGATAGAATTTGGACTACATACCCAAGTGGCCTGGGTCGCATTTGAAAAGATCGGATCTGTGTCGTTTAGACTGTCATGAAAAGATCAGATACAGGTCATATAGGGGACGGAATTGGGTCGTTTCAGCCTGCAGTGTGAACGTAGCCTAAGGCCCTGTCACACTACTGCGTTTTCGTTTAAAAACGGAGAATTAAAACCAATACGATATCCGTCCACACCAGCGTTTTATCTGCGTATTAGAAACGATATCCGTCCACATTAAAACGACTGAAAACGCGGATCACGTGACCATTCACCAACACTGGGCATGCGCGTGCCGGTGTAAACAGAGAATGACGAATCAGGGAAGGATACATCATGACTGATAACACCCAATCATAGAGCCAAGCGTCAGCCTCTGCGTCAGCGTTTCTGAAGTTCTCCATTTTGTCTCGTCCACACTAAAACGCCCTCCGGATATTCAAAACGCAGCTGCAGCGTTTCTAAACTTCTCCGTTTTAGGTCTTCGTTTTTCCCGTTTTAGTGTGGACGGGAGGTGCAAACGTAGCAAAAGGTCTCCGTTTTTAAACGAAAACGCAGTAGTGTGGACGGGGCCTAAGATGGTAATGATGTGAGTGCAATAGAGGCAGTTCCAAAGGAAGGACCAGGGAGGAACACAAGAAACTTGTAGCTTGATGTATACCTTAGCACCAGTCTTAGGCCAGGTAGAGGCTCACAGAACCAGAGGCTTGAATGTGACAACGTTAGGGGATCCCATGGAAAACGCCATCGGTTGCTGCCACATCCAGTGCCCTACGCAAGACAGGTCAGACCCCCAATTGCTGGGGCGGAAGACCTGCGTATAGGGAGTTCAACTGCTGTTCCATTATACCCCAAACAGTGAACTTTTGGATAACGCTGGGAAAGTGTACCCTTCCAGAGGAAGGGGGCGCTGCCGAACCACATCCTGCCAAAGGGAGGTAACATGTGGACAATACACATATGGACTGGCCAGAGGGGCAGTGCAACATATGGAATGCCACTGAGGTGGCTCCAGCGAAGGGGGAGCACCGGACAGTGACGGTAGACTCTGGCAAGGGAAGACACAGGCTCACCGCAAGGAGATGGTCGTGGAAGAATAGACATATGGGATCGCCGCAGGGATCACTACATATGGAACCCAGCCTAGCACAAGTTACACAAGCATACGAGTACTAGGCTTGGCATTGGATGCTCCGGGGTGCGGAGGAACTCGCAGGGTTCGCCGAACGGGAAACTCGACTGGAGCAAAAAGCGCATGTATCCGCTCCGTGGAGGGGAGTGGCGCAGTAAGCCGACACTAGAGCGTGAACTTCAGTGTTACCAGCTGGTTAAAGCAAGCACACAGGCTATAAAACCAAGCGAACGTTAGGTGTCGCACAGCCCGCAGCTCTACATATGTCTGTCAGCGAGACGCCATGTGCCAGTGCCCAGGAAGAAGCGACACCTCTAGTGGAGTGGGCTCTCAACCCAGGCGGGCAGGGCACGCCTTGGGCTTCATAAGCCAAGGCGATGGCATCCACTATCCAGTGGGCCATCCTCTGCTTGGAGACAGCCTTCCCTTTCTGGTGGTCTCCGTAACAGACGAGGAGCTGATCTGAGGCTTTGCGTTCTGTCCACATAAAGACGCAGAGCGTGAACGGGACAGAGAAAAGCCAGGGCTGGGTCTGCCTCCTCCGAAGGCAGCGCTTGCAGGTTCACTACCTGGTCCCGGAAGGGAGTGGTAAGAACCTTGGGCACGTATCCGGGCGGGGTCTCAGGATCATGTGAGAGTTATCCGGGCCGAATTCCAGGCACGACTCGTTGACCGAAAATGCATGCAGGTCCTCTAACCTCTTGATAGAGGCCAATGCAACCAGGAGAACTGTCTTACAGGACAAGATAAGTCTCTGAAGTGACCTCAGATGCTTCTGACTCCAAAGGAGGAGATGGCGGGCAAGTTGTGACATGCGGCAGGAGCATAGACCACCCGGACGGTTGATGTATGCAACGGTCACAGTGCTGTCCGTACGGAC